CCGATTTTTCTAACGAGCGTTGGGCGCCTGATCCAGGCGTTTTCCCAATGGCGGCCAAGCAACGCACTCGTAGCTGTATGGATAGCTAGATTTTTCACATTTTGGTCCTTTTAAAAAACTTATTTCGTAAATAGACCTCTAGAAAAACTTATTCTAGAAATGGTCCTTTTTGGGGCGCCAAAGTGGCTAGCGCCGTCCTCCTGCCACCGTGGCGGGGCAAAATATGTGACTTGTAAAATTTTCTAAAGCTCTACCGAAATGGACAAAATATGTCATCTATCTATTACATACTAAAAGTCCATTAAACTTCCTACAAACGCTCTTAAGCCGCCACGTGGCACTCCTACAAACGCTCTTAAGCCACCACGTGGCACTATCTAATCTTACCGTCGATTTTCACTTAAATTGGTAGACCCGTTATTTTATACCATTAAATTAGATCTATTATTAAAAAATAATAACTTCCTCATATATTATATAACATAGAAACGGTACTGTTCAGCCATAGAGTTTATATACGATACAGAACATTAGGTACGTATTGAAAATAAAATAATAAAACTTTCCCAATGTTACGGTATTTATTTAAAATATGATTTTCTACAGTATAAAGATAAAATATATTTACTTCACAAATATAAATATATTTAGTCAAATTAAGATCTATTATAAATATCCAATCAATGTTCTTTAAAACATCTTATAAATCTATCTACTATCTATCAACTATATATATACTAAAGTATGTTAAACATACGACGAATGCTTTTACGCCGCTACGTGTCTCTCTAATAAATTAGAGAAATCCTAGAAATTTATTTATATACTAAAAATGCATTAAACATCCTGCAAAAACTATTACGCCGTCACGCCGTGCTATAATAAATTAGAGAAATCCTAGAAATTCAGAGAAAAAAGAAAAGCATATGATCCTTTAATTTTTACTTAAATTGGAGGACCCGTTATTTTAAATATTAGTTTAGATCTATTAAAAATCCCATGCTGCTAATCTCTATCTGGAAAAAAAAAACATAATGTGCGTACGTCGTACGATCGTCTCCATCCTAAAAAAATAAAACTTAAATACCTACACCATATACGATAAATAAAACAGATAAAGCCAAATAAATAAAAGAAAACATGCACACGTACCTAGAATCGGAAAGAAATACTAATCGTGAAAAATCACACTGATGTGTTGTCAACATCCTTTAAACTATTATTTTATTAAAAATAACACTACACAGATATGCACATTAAACTTAATCTCTGATAGATAAAATGTCAAATCAAACGTTTTGTTGTTTTAAGTACATCTGTTTTGGGTTATTTAATTTTGGAGATCAGATTCTCAAAATATTTGGATTTGTTCAAAACTTTTTTATTCTTATTTGATGAGTGAGAAGCACAAATAATAGATAGATGAGAAAAATTAAATTAAATTTTAGACAGTGGTTTTGCGATAATAAAACTACAGAATTTAGCTTTGGTTTTTAAGTGGATCATTTTATGTTTATTTTGGGTGACATTGAGATTTTAAGTATCTGAAAATTTTTTTATTGCTATTTGAGGAGAGAGAAGCATACATCATAGATATATGTAAATAAACAAATAAACAAATAAGAATTAGGCAGTTATTTTGCTACAATACAATCCTTAATTCATCATGAGAATTATGATTATCCATGTATGTTTTTTCTTTGCCAAGTAGTATTGGCAAACAATCATGTAAAACACGTATAAAACTATAAATTCTATATACTGAGTATAATTGATGGACGAATGTTATACACCTCTGAACCCAATTTTGTCAATTCTTTACCTCAAATCGACTCAAAACATAAAAATAATACTGTTTTCGCCACCTCTTCCTTTCTGTATATATCTGTCCTTCAATGTTGGGTGTATTACTTGCTATGCCATCATAAATATTGTAGAGACATGTAAATGGTTGAGTTAAGGTGGTGTCCTAAAAGGCCACCATAACCAATGTAACTAAAATGACATACTTACCAATACAATCATTTGTGAGTGTGCCAATAGTGAATTGAGTGTTAAAATTGTACTTTAAGATGGTCTTTAGGGGCACGGTTACATCGATGCGAGACCCGTGTTTCAAGGCATTATGTAAGAAAGCCTTGGTTGGCTGCTACGGTCGACTTCATCTGTTAGAAAATCATTCATGAATATTTTTAACGGTGTTATCGTATTATCTGGTAGATATGATATTTTTAGACAATTTATACATAGATGTGAAAATAAGTTATGCACACTGGGTTATGCAGTGTACATGATATTTTTAGTGTATAAATAATGTATGATTTATTTTAGTGGTACAAATACAGTTTCTTTTATTAAAAGTGCACCTAACTTTCAAAAACAATGATAATAAATAGTGGTGACAAAAGACGAGTTTATATATGACCAGGACAAAGGGATTTTTACTTAAATCTAATAGATATTCTATCACATTTAGTAATCTATACCATCTATTTTACGGCAAATATATTTGTTTTTTTATTTAGGGTAATCTACATTCCCTTACAAGATATATGTATTAATGTATATACTAAGATATGATTTATTTTAGCATTCTTTTTCTTGAACAACAAATAAGATGCCCATGTATATGTGGGGGTTTCCTTTCCGATTTATATTCTGAAAATATCCTTCATTTTATATTTTGTCCTTACATTGTTTGAAACATAGCCTATGATACATGCATGCGTGCGCGAATGCGCGGGCTACCTTCCTGGTTTATTAAAATAGGCGTAACTTTCTCATACGGACTCGGAATCAGGCAAATAATATATTCACGGATATCTACAGAAAAAGTTACATCCGATTCTCGGCATCGCCCCACCACGTCGGCAGGGGGACGGCGCCAGAGAGGCTGGCGCCGTCCCATTGGACAACGGCGCCAACCTCTTTGACGCCCAAAAAGAACCATTTCTAGGATAAGTTTTTTCAGGGGTCTATTTACGAAATAAGTTTAAAAGAACCAAAATGCGAAAAATCCAGGTGCGGATAGTGTTACCCGAGTTCCATTTTCTTGCCCGATGACCAATGCCAACGGCAGTAATAATTAACATTGACATTAATTGGCCTGGTCTGGTGTACACCTTTTCTGCAGCATCAAAATATCTTCTGCAATTATTGTACGGTTTCTACTATTACATGATGGGGATGTTATGCTTGACAAAGGAAAACAAGAGGAACCTCCTTACACTAGTAAAACAAAAAACATTTTTTCAAATGGTTAAAAAAAATTTCGTGTGTGATTAAGTCGCCCGTCTAGTGTGAAAATCACTATTTTTCTACACGGTTAGCAAACACGCACGCAAAATTACATATCCCACTATAGTACTCCCTCCGTCACATAATATAACGAAATTTTGAATGGATGCGACACATCATATCTAGATTCGTAGTACTATTATGTGTCACATCCACCCAAAATATCTTATATTATGGGACGGAGGGAGTATCATACTCAAACTACATAGCGCTCGCGATCTGACGACCCACCTATATATACTTTCTTTTTTCAAACTGCAAAAGCTAGCTTTAAACATCCGTTATACTCCCTCGGTCCCAAAATAAGCGCAGCCATGAGTTTCCATGTCCAACTTTAATCGTCCATCTTATTTAATTTTTTTTTAGAAAAAGCTAAAAAACTTAAGTCACATATAAAGTATTATTCATGTTTTAAATCTAATAGCAATAAAAATAATAATTATAAATAAAATTCAAATAACACGGACGATCAAAGTTGGATACAGAAACTCATGGCTAATCTCATTTTGGGAGGGAGGAAGTATGTCTTAATACAAATGTGACCCGCCAAGCGAAAATCTGTCAAACAAAGAGCACAATGATGGAAATATATTATATTAAACCCTGAGGGTTTCTTTCTTCAATAATTCAAGGCGTGGTTAGGCTGAACTTCACGAGTCTACGAGCTTTCACATACCTATCAAGCTATCTCCTATTACAAAAACCATTTGATTTAATACAGGACCCCAGAAAATATCTTGTTGGCACATGTTACCTGAAATATTAACTCATGTTTTGTATTTTGAAACATATAATGCTTTGGAGTCGTTTAATTATTTGAAATATATGATTATTTTTCAGATAGATTATTTGAAAAAGTTTTCTGCTTCCCATGAGTGATTTATTGGAAACTTCTAATTCCACAAAAATATTTAAATCTCTAAAACGTCTGAAGTCATGTCTTGAGTATCAAATTTGTTGGAGCGGTGCATCCATATACAAAATTTATATTGATTTACTGATCATGTCAATTGTTTCTAATAAACAACGATACAGTAAGCTTATTCTGAATTTCACAAGCTAGATGCACATTTGCAATGTGAACATAATTATAAGTAAATTATGCTACACTAAAACACAATAATGTATTTCTCGGAAGTTGTTCTTATAGTAGAACTATAAATGATATTTTTAGAATAAGGATGTGTTCCTTCCGGTTCAATAATTCTGTGACATTTTGAACTCTTATAACTTTAACTATCAATAACTCTAAAATTATTTTGCTTAAAACGTACTAGAACAACATATTAGATTTGTCTTACTAAATATTATATTAAAAGTAAAAAAATATTTATTTATTATATATATTATAATAGAAAACATAGTGAATGATACATTTAGGAAACCATGTTATTGTTCAAAACATCAAGATCTATGGAACAGGACGCAGTACAATCATGTTTTTTGCACTGCATATATTCTGGAGTGGTCCAGTCTATTCATATAATCATGGAAACTAAGTGTAAACTCACCCCTTATTTATTTTGCATTTGACAGACATATATGCACTTGCAGTAATAACTAGCTAATTAACACCATTTCTTATACTACCTCCATCCCAAAATGTTTGACGCCGTTGACTTTTTTAAATATGTTTGACCGTTCGTCTTATTCAAAAAAAATTTAAGTAATTGTTAATTCTTTTTCTATCATTTGATTTATTGTTAAATATACTTTTATGTATACATATAGTTTTACACATATCACAAAAGTTTTTGAATAAAACGAACGGTCAAACATGTTACAAAAGGTCAACGGTGTCAAATATTTAGGGAAGGAGGGAGTAGTTACCTTCCACCTAAGAGGAAGGATACGGTGCCAATGGTTGCTGCAGACGATGGATATGACATTGGATATGAGTCGAACCCTTCATTCTGCATTAGAGCCATTGTGCTAAAGCTCATATTTGTTGATGTTAAGTCTGGGAGTGGAGTGTCACCATCAAGGTATTGCATGACTTGTCTCATGCCCGGTCTCAAGTTGGCAGATGGGTGTGAACACAGCAGTCCTAGCTTTAGCACCCGGCATGCCTCATCTGTATTACAGTCACCTTGCAACCTCAGGTCCACTGTCTCATTAAGAGAGCCTTTTTTGAAATGGTCAAGAACCCAGTCAACTAACATTTCTTGGTTGTATCGTCCACTATCGTCGTTGACCGGTCTTTGCCCACAAGTTATTTCAAGAAGAAACGCACCAAATGTGAAAACATCTGTTAGTTTGGATGCCTTACCGGTCCATATTAGTTCTGGGGCCAAGTATCCCATTGTACCCACCACATGTGTGGTTTGGGGATCGGTGCCATGGTCATACAACCTTGAGAGTCCAAAATCACCTAAGCACCCATTCATTTGATGGTCAAGAAGCACATTGCTTGCTTTTATGTCACGGTGGATGACAACTTTCTCCCACTTCTCATGGATATAGAGCAAGCCAGACGCAACACCCCTAATGATATGAAACCTTTGGCTCCAATCCCGTAAAGGCTTATCCTCCTAACAATACAGATATTTATCAAGACTACCATTTGGCATATATTCATACACTAGAAGGAGTTCACCTTTTCTTCTACAATAGCCATGTAATTGCACGAGGTTGCGGTTCCGTAAGCGGCCAATGGTGACAAATTCAGAGATGAACTCCTTCATACCCTGCCTTGACTCGTGAGAAACCTTCTTCACGGCTACCTCCAATCTAGACTTCCGAAAAACTCCTTTATACACCTGGCCGTAAAGTCCTGTACCCAGGAGATGTTTGCTCTTAAATCCATTAGTAGCATGATATAGATCCTTATATGAGAATCGATGGGGGCCAAATTCAAGCTCCCAATCTTCAAGCAACTGAGCATACCTCAGATGCCTTAACACGAGTAGGGTGGCAATGGTACCAAGACTGAGCATGACTGTTGCTGTAGCTATTGGTAGGACGATTACTAAGACCTTGGATGGAGGCTTGGGTCCGAAACACGGCAGCTTAGGAAGATTGGCAATGTTAATCGGCGGAGCAGGGCCATTCATGGCAAAGCTCTAGCCGAGCAGGTAGTGCCGATAATTGATCTCGCTAGTCACAGATGAGAAACCGATGTATGCCCACTCCGTGAGTACAGTTGAGAGGTCATACTTAGCGGAAACAAGCGGCTTCCTTGGTTTAGCCACTTTGATTGGTGCCAAAGCCACATCAATCTGTCCTGTGTTGCCATCATAGTCCACCCACACCTGCATCGCTTCTCGGCTAAAGAGGGTTAGGTTCTTGAAGACGCCATTGTTGCCGTCATCGTAGTAGCTAGTTGGGGAGGATTGCAAAGAGTGAAGATTGTTGACGTTGATGCCAACGTGGTTGGCGTTGACGTCTTGAAAATCGGTGTTCTGGACGGTGTCGAGCTCAACCGCGAAGAGGTGGTTGGTCGTGTTGCCGTTGTTCTGGACGTTGAGGAGGGCCAGGTACCCAACCGGCAGTGCGGTGGTGAAGTTCTTGGTCGGGGACACGATGAAGGCCATACCGTGGGCACAGAAATCGGTGTAGTCGGAGATGATGGCGAACACGAAGGCGGCCGAGAAGGACCGAGCTGTGCCATCAGGCGATGTGCGGAACTGCAGAGGCGCGGGGAAGAACGCATGGCCTTTTAGGTTGGTCTTGCGGCTGGTCAGCACAAGGATCCCATCTGGCATGACGGTGGCGTTGCCGTCGAGCGTGAGGTTGGTGCCGGTGAAGCCATGATAGGCGAACTGGAAGTCTCCGCTGCCGGAACACAAGGCAAGTGCTAGGTGAAGAAGGCTGATGAGGCGCAAGAGGAAGAACGCAGGCTTCATGGTCGTATGTGGTGGGGGATTGTGCGAGAGGGCATATCGTTGGCCACACTCTCTAATAAAGCACCTTTCACTAGTCAATCCTTAATTAAGAGGTGGGATATGATAGTCTTGGCAGCCAAACGTACGTGTCGAGATGTCTATGTGGATATATAGCTGTAGTGATAGTGTATTACAGTATCACAAGAAGGAGAATGCCAATTCTAATCTCTTGTCATGGCATATAGTATTTTTCTGTTACATAAAAAAATGGTTTTCATTTAACGCCCTTAAAATATTTGTTGGCTGTGAAGTGTGCATAGCTTAATTGATTAGGCTTGCTCTGGTGGAACCTACCCACTCAGGTTTAAGTTCTAGATTTGATTTGGTTCTCGCATTTAGGTCTAATATTCTTTTAGTGATGTACCTTTCAATAGTGTTCATGTGGGTGTCGTGTGCGTTTATAAATATAGTGAGTGTTTCCATTTGTACTATATTTTTTTAAAAAAATAATCGTTGGCTCCCTGCACCAGTTTAGTCCATGAATTACTGAGATGAGTCACTTTACCCCTAATAATATTTCTTTTTTTTCCCTCTCTTTGAACTTTAAAATACAATTAGGAAGATAGTCCGCGCATTCGCACGGACATGTATCATAGGCTGTGTTTAAAAACTATAAATACATAATATAAATTGGAGAATATTTCCGGCATATAAAGGAAACCCGCACATATGTACGGGCATCTTATTTATTGTTCAAGGAAAAGAATGTTAAAGAAATCATACATCACTATATATACATTGTAAGGAAATGTAGATTATTCTAGGATAAAAATAGACACATATTTGCCGTAAAATTGACAGTAGATTCTAATATACCACTAAATCTAATAAGAATGTCCCTCAGATTTAAATAAAAATCCCTTCGTTCTAGGCATATATAAATTCGCATTTTGTCACCACTACTTATTATCATTGTTCTGAAAATTAGGTGTACTTTTAATAAATGAAACTGTATTAGTACCACAAAATAAATGATACATTATTAATACACTAAAAGAATTCATCTACATCGCATAACCCGGTGCTCGTCACTTAATTTCATATCTGTATATAAATAGTCTAAAAATACCATATGTACCGGATAATACAATAACACTGTTAAAAATAAACATGAATGGCTCTCTAACGGATGAAGTCAACTTTAGCTGCCAACCAAGGCTTTCTTATGTAATGCCTTGAAACATAGGTCCCGCATTGATGTAGCTATGCCCCTAAAGACCATCTTAGAGTGTAATTTTAACACTTAGTTCACTTTAGGTTAATTTCGAACTCAGTGACAATGGAGAGACCTAAAGTGAACTTATTCGCTAGGAGCTAGCCTCCGTATCAACCGCCACGCACTCTGGGCTTTGCCTGGGCCAGAAAGAAATGTGTAACCAGCATTGCTAGCTATTTGAGCTAACGGTACTTGTAAGCAGTAATTGGCTTGCAACTCCTGTACGTGCTCATAACTGGCTTACATGAAGAGAATTTGGAGCAGAATTACTATCCCTGCGATGATGTATGTGTTGATCCATGTTCAGCAAATACTCTCGAATGCACAATGACACGAATGTTATATATCTTGATCTGATTGGCATAGCTCTAACTCCTAACTTCAACTTACCTTTAACTAAAGTTATGCCAAACGGTCAAAATCCTATGTTTTTTTGAGTGGGGTTTGTAGAGTTACTCCTAGAAAATGAACTAAGAGGGTGGAGCCGGGTTTTTACTGTTCCATAGCCCCACTCCACCCAAAAAACCCACTGCTCTTTAATTATTAGCAAATTTTTCTACCGGACATCACAATTTTGTGGTTTTAACCGTAGGACACCACACAAAATCATTTTTGGGAAACACACTCTGAAAATATGGTTATTTGCTAGGGGACACTCTATCCATTAAATTAATGTTTTCGTGTTGACTAGACGAGAGTGGGCTCACATTTTTACGTGTCTTGACCAAATTACCCATTCTTTCTTTCTCTTCCTTATCTGAAATCTCTCCCTCTCTCTTTTTTATCTCTTCTCCCGGCGGATGGCGTGGTTGGCAGCGTCGACATCGACGTCAGCACCCGGAGCGCGTGTGGCCTATTCAGCGGCGGCGGTGGCGGCAGCCTGCTCGGCGGTGGTGGCCTGTTCAGCGGCGGCAGCACGCACGGCGGTGGCCTGCTCACTGGCGGTAGTCTGCTCGACAGCAGCAGCAGCCTGCTCGGTGGCAGTGCCCGGAGCGCGCGCGGCCTGCTCGGCGGCGGTGGCGGAGCCCGAAGCACATGCGGCCTGTTCCGTGGACGGTGGCGCGCGCGGCCTGCTCGGCAGCGGCGGTGGCCACGGACCACGCCAGTGCGTGGATCTCTGCCACCAGTCCACCACGGCTCGCTCGGTGTGGACAACGGCGACAATGACGACTTCAAGTGCCCACTGTACAGGGAAGTGACGGAGGGAGGTGTCGGACGTATGTGCCTGCCACAGTACGGTTCGGCAACGGCCTCGCCATTGCGAGAGCGGCAGCGGCACCGGCGGATGACCACGACACATCATGGGCACGTGGTGCTCATCGTGGTGATGTTGCTGCTGTTGGTTTGGTGGTGTTGCTCTCCATGGTTATGCTGCTACTAGCTGCTGGTTGGTGATGGGGAAGAAGAAGACGCACTCCAGGCAGTAGATGTCCAACCACTCCTCATTCGCCGATAGACAGAGAAGAGAGATGGGAGAACTAACATGTGGGTCCAGGGATATTTTTGATATTTTATACAATTTTTCTCTCCTCTCTATCTGAAAATTATTATTTTAATGGGTGCAGTGTCCGCTGGCGACTTACCACGTATATGGAGTGTCTTTCCCCAAAAGTCATTTCGTGTGGTGTTCTACAACTAAAACAGTAAAGTCACGATGTAGTGTAGCAAAATTTTCTTTAATTATTTGACGTATTTACGCGAAAATGCCACTGACCTACCCCAACCTCCTCACCTCCCTACCCGACGACCGGGCGAGCAGAAGGCCACGGCATTCCGGCGGCGGCTCGGCGATGCGCGTGCGGGCAGCAGGGTGACGACGGTGCTCCGGCAGCGGTGCGCGGACGGGCAGCAGGGCGACGGCGGCACTTCGGCAGCGGCTCTGAGCGCACAGGCAGTAGGCCAGCGACGGCGCAGCTTGGCGACGCGTGGGCGGGCAGCAGCCGCAGCGCTCCGGCGGCGTCGCGCGGCCGGGTAGCAGGGCGACGGCGGTGCTCCAACGGCGGTTCGGTGCGCGCGGCCAGCAGGCTGACGGCGGCGCGGCTCTGAGCTAATCCCCTAGACCCTTTTTCCTTTTTTTTTTCAATTTCAAATCTGCACAAAAAGAACAATAGGGTGATTTTGCATGTATGTTGTGGGGGATTTCTTTTTTATATGAACTATATAGATGTGAAAAATTATCATGTGTTTATACAAATTGAAGTGAGAACAAAATGGTAGACTATACAAATTTCAAATCTAAACCAAGAAAACACTAGGATGCTTTCACTAATTATGTCAATTATTTTGGTGATTAAGTTTTAACCTTATAATTATGTTGCTGAAATTCTAAATAAAAATAAACATTTATCAGTCATACATCACGGAAATAGAAAAAAACCACAAGGGTACTATTGTCAACCTCCCCCTATGCTCTGTTTCTGAAGTTCTGAAGCAGAGTAAGCTTGTCAAACACTTTTCACATGACATCCAACTCCCACAGGAGCGAGTGAGAGTTAGGAGCTAGGAGTTGGAATTTGGAGCCCTCCCAAACAGGCCTTCCTGCATAACTAGCTTTGTCCTGTTTTTGTACGTTGCTAGCACATTGTGATTTAAACTATACAAGACAAAGGTGAGAAAAATAAGTGAAAATTCCTTTATAATAATTAATAGGACGTTCCCGTCATTAACTTAACCCTACAAACATTGCTTCATTGCTTGAAACATCTAACTAAATAATTTTAAATTCTATCAAAATTTTATATAATAAATCATACGAACATCTTATATAAACAGTACCGTGGACGTGTTCTCAGCCATACTTAAAATGTGTTCTTGCTGGCTTTCCCAAACTCACCCTCCTTGTTTTTTGCAAAAATATTCTATACACAAGTTGTTTTAGAAAATCATATTAATCAATTTTTTTTAAAAAAATAATGCTTAATTAATCATATCACTACTAGAAAAACGATTTTTTATGGCGTTGGCCTAATATTTTCTCTGGCGATAAAATGTGAAAACCGCCAACAAGGTTGTAACGAGGGGTGGGAGGCAACGACCGCCAGCAAAAAAAGATTTTCGTTGGCGGCCGAGTAATACAGGCCGCCAGCGAAGATTTTTTTATTTTCGCTGGCGGTACCTTCTAAGTGCCGCCAGCGAAAATAGGTTCATCTTCGCTAGCGGTATGATGATATGGACCGCCATTGAAGATGAACCTATTTTCTCTGGTGGCTCTCTTTAGCCACCGCCACCTCTATCATTTTATATGGCGGTGCATTAAGTAGTCCACCAGTGAAAATTGGTTCTCCTATATAAGGCCGTGCCCAAGCTACCATGCCATTTGAGCACGATTTTCTCTCTCTTATGAACTCAAACATAGGGGGAGAAGTTTTTGAACTCGAATGGTTTGATAGATATTTTGTACCAAAAGGTTAGTTATACTTTATAGTTCTCCATTTCTCAATTTTTTTTTTCATTTTTATCCGTTCTATGTTGAGATTTTGCAAGGTCAAGTTTCCAAGGCATGTTCGTTTTGATTTGTTTTGTGGTGTTGAAAACGGTCAAAATTGTTATGATATATTGTACATGATCAATGTATATAGATTTCACAATGTTTTGATATGTTTATTTATAGAAGATCTATATGGCACGGTTGTTTTGTGCACTTTAAATCTATATATCTGGTTATGAAAGAGAATTGAGAGAAAGAAAGAGGGTAGTTTGGTAATTTTATCTAGTTTTTTCTAGTTGTATGTCTAGTTGTCATGTATTGGGAATATATGAGTGGTAGTTTTTTTTTAAAAAATGAAGTCATAATATAGTTTTAATTTTTCCGTGTTTATACTAATTGTAATATTTTTCACAATGTTTAATTTATTTGTTTACATATTAGCATAATTATTTTAATGTGACATATTATTAAAACTATTTAAACTAAGTTAGTTTTTTTTTCTCAATGCATAGACGATGGCAGACAGATCATGAATGTTCATGAATGTATAGAGAGATATCGTGCGTCATATATTGTAGGAGTCAATATATTTATGAAAGCTGCGAAGAAAAATGCTGTAGCTAAGAAGACAAAGGAAATTAAATGTCCATGCAAACACTGCAAAAATCAGAAATTTTGGAATGATTCATCTGTAATCGAGCAACACTTGGTGACACATGGATTTGTTGAAGGCTACACAAACTGGTCACACCATGGAGAAATCCCTGCAAGCTTCCAAGTTCCCAACCAAGAGATAGTACAGGATGAAGTGTTCAATGATTGGAATTTCATGGTAGTAGAAGAAGAATCGGTTGATGATGATGGTTATGACACAGCTAATGATGTTGATGATGGTCATGTCACAGTAGATGATGCTAATGGTAGTGATGGAACTGCTTTTGATTTGGAGGAGATGTTGCGCCATGCTGAACCTGAGACAATTTTCACTGGCGGCTCCCTTGAGAAAGCCGCTAGCGAAAATAGATCTTCTCTAGTGGTTGGACTCCGCCAGAGAAAACTCTACATCTTCACTGGCCTTTACTCTCTGGCGGCGCCTAGTACCGCCAGCGAAAACCTGTTTTAGCTGCCAAAAAAACGTATTTCGTAGTAGTGTATGGTAACGAGTTGTTTCGTTTTGCGTCGAAGGGATTAGTTCTCAACGAACGCACCCTGTATGGGCAGTGATATATAGGCAAGTACGCATGCAGCCTTATATGGGTAGTCAAATGTAGTCACGAATTAAACTCTCCCTTAGGTACAACATATGCATATGCCACTTTCTTCATGAGCAAACATCGCTATGGATGCTAGCAATGTTGCGCCGATTGATCGAAATATAGGTGGCACTAGGAAGCATGCCAAATGGATTTGCAGCCAAACTATTACTGGTGTAAGCATGCAATAGCCTCCATCTACACACTCCCAGAACACCACTCAACTCACACTACTTGAAAAACGATTTTTCATGACGTTATCCTATTTTTTCGCTGTCGGTTATATAAGAAATCCGCTTGTAAAATTCTGATGAGGGATAGTGTGTTTAGAACCGCCATTTTCGCTGGCGGTGAGTTTAGAACCACCAGTGAAAATCCGTTTTCGCTGGTGGTAGGTTAAGAAGTCCGCTTGCAAAAATATCCCAATTTTTGCTGACGGACCTCAGCGAAAATCCTAGTGGAGGACCGCGCCGCTCTGGCCCTTTAAAAAATCGCGGCATTAAAAGTCGCTCCACCTACCCATCCTTATCTCCTCCTTCCACTCCCTCTCTCCCTCCAACTATCTCTCCCTCCATCCACAGGCATGAGCGGTGAGCTCGGGCACGGCCAGCGGTGTGCTTCGGCGCGGGTAGAGGAGAGGGCTGGCGCGGGCGGCAGCGAGCTCGATTGTGGGCAACAGGGAGGGCGGCGGCGGAGCTTGGGCGAAAGGGAGGGCGGAGGAGAGGGCTGGCGCGGTCGGCGGTGAGCTCGGTTGCGGGCGGCGGTTGTGAAAAGACCTTAATGTCGCTTAGAGGGGGTGTGAATAGGCGTTCCTAAAAATTATCACAACTTCATAGCATATTAGAATTATGAGAACTTTCGGTTCAAACAGGAACTTCCGATATGAGATTGGAAGTTCCGGTCTCAACCGAAAAGTTCGGCGGATAATGGAATAAAACACTAGCTATGAACTTGTAGCTCAAATAAACAAAATGTATATGAATCAAAAAGTGACAAATAAGGTATCTAAACAAGATATAAGGTCACCAACTAAATCAATTAAGCATGCAAGTAGATCGGGTAAAAACAAGCTCAAGCACTATGAGAGAATACACAAATGGACAAACCAAGAGAGGAGACGCATGATTTGTTTCCCAAAGTTCGGATCCACGGATCCTATGTCTCCGTTGAGTAGACACAAGGGCCGGGCCTATTTCAACCCTTTCCTCACGAGGTTGCACAAATGCACTCCTCGGTTTCACTCTTGATTTCTTCCCTTGCGGAGGCGAAATCGAAGTTTTCACAAACTTTCCGTGGCACACCACAACCTTGGGTGCTCACCGGCGACGCCTAGCCGTCTAGGAGACCTTAGTCCCCAAGAGTAACAAACATAATCGAAGATTTGCTTGCTATGAACTCGAGTGCTCAAAGTATGGAGTGAAGCTCATTAGCTCTCAACTTCTCAATCACTCAATCCAACTCTTTCCTCTTCTCAAATCCCTCTCACAAAGAGGCACCACAAAGGATGGAGTGAAACTCACTAGCTCTCAACTCCTCACTCTCTCAATCCAACTTTCTCTCTCCCCTTCTCAAATCCTCCTCACAAAGAGGCACCACAAAGGTAGGGAAATGGGGATGGCTATTTGGCTTTGGATGTGTCTAATACTCCCCAAGAGCAGCAGCCACTCAAAGGTGGGGTGGAGGAGTTTATATACCCGAGCCTCTTAAAAACTAGCCGTTGGAGGCCAAGACTGTAATTTTTGGATTTTTCGAAAAGCATTTTCGGACAATTCCGAAAATCTACAGAAGCAAATCTTGGATTCTGTAGATTTATCCGAAAACTTTTCAGAGTTTTCGATAATTTTTCGGACTTTCCGAAAAGCACAGAGTAAAACAACTATAACTTTTCGCTCGGGAGTCCGTTTTTGATGATCTTGGACTCTATGGAAAGCTCACTCAGAGGACTACCCAACTCAACCAAAAACAAGGTCTAAAACCACTCAAAGGATAGGTTAAAGCTTAGGTTTCTCTCAAGATAGCACTATGATAGGTCACTTTGAGCACCGAGACATACACAAACACCTCGAAGTTGCATCCCTCTTAATAGTATGACATTCCTAAACTCAAATGTAAATAAGAAGATAATTATACCATTAGGAATACCTTTTTTTCATCTTTCTTTTATTGTCTTAAGGGATGCCAATGCCGATACCGTTTCACCATATATTCTTCAAATGATTGATGCGGTTACTTGTAGCTTCAAATGGTCTCGCACGGTCCATTATGACAAAGCCATCACTCGACCTTTACCACCGGATTTGGTTCTTCGGCGCCAAGCCCCTTGCTTGCCCTTCACCGCCGCATGGTCCATCGCGATCGAGCATCGCTTGCCCTTCACCGTCTTGCCATAATAGCTACTTCGTATCACACATCTTCAATATCTTCACTTTGTCATTCTTGGTATTGTTAGGTGTAATTGTATCACTTGAACATCAACATCTTTGTAATCCTTGGGACCTATTTCTTTCATTCAACTCAATAAAATTATTAGTCCCAATGATCCGGTTGTCAACCTCCACTGTTGACCAACCGATCGCATGTATAAAAGGATATGAATAAATGATGAGTATTAATCAACACCACAAGTGTCATATACTCAAACATATGTTCAAATGTAAAGATCCCAATTAAATGAAGGTGAATAACTTGGATCGATTACATGCATAACTAAAGTATAGGATTTGCTCCCCCTAAATGTATGCATACAAAATATTTGTGTGAAGTAAGAGTATGCATAACAAGATATTAAACATTGAGAGCTTATCCTATACAAGAATAGAAGGCATTTATCAAATATAGACAATAAAATAAAAACATACCTTCATCATCTCCATGTTCTCAATGTAAAGAGACTAAACAAGATATGGCTCAAACAAAACATTAGTCTCACATGCTGTAGCGCCCGTTCCGTCGTGGCGCCTAGCGGGAAAAATTAAATTCTAAAAACCCTAATTGCGAAATCTGTTTCGTTGCTTGTTGTCAGTCTCCATGCCAATCCCTGATCTCGAATCCCCAATCTATCGTCAAATTCAAATCCCGAATCCAAATCTCTCCAAATTCAAATCCCTCTGTAAAAGTCTAGTTTGCCTTCCTCAGGTTCGGTGGGCCGATTTCCCTCTCGGCCCATATCTCTCTCTCTCTCCGTCAGCTCTCCCCTCGCTCTGCTCGTGCGCCGCAAGCGCGTGCGCGTGAGCCGACGCCGAGCCGAGCTCTTTCTCTCTCTCTCTCTCTCTCTTTCTCGTTCTCTTGCTCTCGCTCTCCCCGGTCCATCCCCGGCAAGCTCACGGCGCGCCATTGCGTCGCGCGCGCGCCCCCGCGCGGTCGCCGCCGTCGTCAGCTGCTTGTTGCCCGTGCCTGTGCCGTCCGGCCCCGCGCCCTGCCGCGCTGCGCCGCCTGCGCTGCGCCCTGCCCCACGAGCCAGCACGCCTGCCCGAGGCACGCCGCCCGCATCCGTCCAAAACCTGAGGCAGCGCCTCCCGCTCCCATCTCTCTCCCTCCCCAAATTGGCATAGCGCGAGCTCCCTTTCCCCCCCTCCGTTTCTCCCTTTCCCCTTTCGGCCTGGCCCCTGCTTCCCCCATTCTGTTCCCGCGCCATGGACGCAGAGGAGCAGCCGCGCCAGCCGTCGCCCATGCCGTTTGACCCCACGCCCGTGAGCCCATCCCTTCTCCTCGAAGCTCCCTCGCCCCAGCACTGCTCCGAGGTCGGTTTCCGAACCGACATTGCCACCCCTTAAAAGCCGCCCCTCCCCTCTCTCTCTCGATCCCCCTGTTTCGCTCGCCGTTCGTTGTCGCGCGTGTCGGAGGAGCCGGCACGAGCGAGGACACGTGACGTGGACTCCGGGCACACCCTCTCCTTCCTCTTCCCCGGCCCGAGGCTGGAGCGATCACGCCCCGCGCCGTCGGCCATCGTCACCGCGCCCCTTCACCCCGTCACGGTAGTGCTTTCCTCCGTTCTGCCTCCTCGCTCCATCTCCTCCCCTTAGACTCGGGTAGTAGCACGAGTAGACCCCCCGTAGCTATCTGGCGCCGCCCCAAGCCTTGCCGCCGCCTATTGTGTGCTCACCGCCGTCGCCGCCCGAGCTCCGTAGCGCCTCTCGTCGCTGGCCTCCCTCGGTGCATTTCCTCCTAATCCAGCGCAAGGAATGGATTCGCGGAGT